TGCTCTCGCAACGTGTAGGGCACCATGTTCAACTTTCACGTGCGCAAGCGCGAGACGTTGCTCAAGCACGGTGAGACCTTTCGTCAGCAGTGACTTTCGAACGCCGCTGATGGAACGTCTATGACATTTATCGTTGCTTCACCAAGCGAGCGGCTTTCACCCTTGGCTGTACCCCGAGCTGAGCGAGCTGTACGCACTCGAGGCAGCCAAAGACGAAGAGGCGTTCGCTGTCTGCTCAGACTAGTGAGCAATTAGACAGCTTCGAATGCTATTCGTTCCACTGCACGCTGATGACCCCTTTCCTTGGCTCACATCAGCACCGGAGCTTCTCTGTTTCAAGGACCCATTCGCAGAGCCATGAAGGTGCTTGCACAGAGAGGGTTTCCGCCTGCGTACGGCTACGAATTCGCCCACTTGCCTTCGGATGGGTGCCTGAGAAGCTCGGTACAATCTGAAGCTGCGTTCAGTATTCTGCGCGAATTTGGCGTACTGTGAGCAGCCGTCAAAAGGCTCGACACTAGGAAATATTTTGGCTGACAGCATCTTGCATCAACGGATTCTTAGACACTGCGCTGAGCTACCACTGTTGTGGGGAGAATTGGTGAGGATTCACGATCCGCAGTGACTTCGATCCGCGTGCCGCTGCAGTCAGCTCACTGCATCGTCTCTAAACGATACAGGTCGAACCTCACTATACTGCCACGTCCGACTCTTATGGAGTCGAAGCGGACGCCCCCAAGCCAACGCACACGACAGCTCTCGATGAGGACAGCGCGCCTGGCAAAGGCTTTACACCAGGTGAGCTGATGAAGGGCCACGTCGCGTGCTTCTGCGAGCTGCTTGCTGACCAGGTTCGCGATCAAAGCGGAACGAGCTCTTTCGCTGGAATTGATGCGAGCTGTCGGATCCTTTGCGCATGGTCAAAGACCTTGGCCCGCATTATCGACGAGCACGGAGCCGCACTCGATCGAGCAGATTCCCATCAGGGTTTGGGGTCATCGAGCCCAGCTAGGCGCCAACTCTCCACGAGCTGTTGCCGCCAATAGGGCAGACTCCGAAGCGGTCGATTGGGGAGACTTGCAGGGTAGAAACACCACGCTTGGTCAGACTTCACATTGGAAGGAGAGGGTGGGAGTGACCGCTGATGCACATGCCAAGTACAGATTTTGGGCCGAGCCCACGGAGGAAGGCTACTTTCACCCCTTGCTGCAGTATTATGGCAGCTTCAAGCAGGGTTTTGAGGAATGATTTTGTCCTGCGC